TGTGTGTCAAGATTTGGGGGAGGCAGCTGTTTGGTGCTACGCCGTGTCATTCCCGCCAAGCTGACAAGCATCGTTCCACTCCACATCCCATTCAAATTTTCCACCCACACCAACGAGAGAATGACTGCAGTGGCCAATAAGGTGATTCACCATCCCTCGCGTGGCCACGAATTACTCGAGTGGCCACCAAATTTGGTGATAATGACTCGAGTGGCCACGCCAGGGGATTCTTCCTGGCTTTTTTTTCTTCGGCGCATTACCCTACGGGGCTTTGTAGCCCCGAAATTCCCCATTCGTGTGAGCGGTATCCTTAGGTAGTGTTCCGTTCTGTTTTGCACCCGAAAATTTCGCCAGGCTCACGGACGCGAAAGTGGCCCGCTCACTGTACATTGACCAAATGTACATTGACCGGTCAGTTTCGGCCAAATGCTCGACCAATGAGCGCGCGGTCAATATAATTCACATCCAATCAGCGAACGAGCATATGACTTCGCGATCATATACTGCATTTGACCCGAAACGAACCGACACTGCAAAAACGACCGCGCTCGATTGGTCAGGAGATATGCGCGTCCAATCAGGTGCCATCGTTTAGTTCCCGATCATATACTGAAATGATCGGCCGTCGCTTCGCGAGAAATCAGATGACCGCGCGTGATTGGTTTGTCTTGTTCGCAGGATATGACCAGACATTGCGCGTCCAATCAAAGAACGTCCAAACAAAGGCGTAGTCATATATTATATAAGACCGCGCAATAACCTTTATGTGCGCGCATATTTGATGATGCTTAGGGAGCTTATAAAACCTACACAAAAAATCCAAAAAAAAAAAATTCTCCCTGAGTATATTTGTTACGTCGTGGCTACTGTCTTGAGTTTTGTTTTGCCGTTAATCTATATAACACTGTGAACACCTTTCATGTGGCAGGCAGAGGCGGAGGGTTATAATGCTATGCATATGTATCTATTGGCATGTCATGTTTGGATCTACGCATGTATACCATAGTTTAAGTAGATCGTTTAGATGTTTACGGATCACGCAATTTCAGTATCACCAAATGTCACAGCATTTACTGCGTTGCTTAGCCAAGGAAACCACTTAACTGTATCCGTCTCTCGCACGTAACGGTATGCGTGCGCGATAACATCGAACCCCAAATTTGCCTCGTGGACCGGTCATATGCGCGTTGTGTTTCGACCAGTCGCGTGCTCTTGTGTATATGACCGGTCATATACGAGGGAGCATATGCGCAATCATATGTGCGTGTGTGTATTACTGGTCAAGTGCGTAATGCTATAGGGCCGGTCAATTGTTCGAGAGTATATCATGTCAGAATGTTGTATTTGTCTAGCCTGCAGTGGGGTACTCTATAGCGAGTACAGCCCAATCTAGGGTTTCCTATATGTACTCAACTGCTTGCTAGTGCAACCCCTCTTTCTGCTTCTAAACTTTTCCTCATAATTGTGACATGGTATCAGAGCGTGTCCTTCCTTGGCCTGTGGGCCCACCAACCTGCTTCCGCTGCTACTTGATCTGTCGCACGCCCCGTGGCGTGCGACCTATTTTTCATCCCGCCGCGCGCCTGGCGCGCGCCCCGGGGCGCGCGGCCCCTTTCCTTCCTGGCGCGCCGCCCCCGCTATTTCGTCGCGGCGCCCTAGGGGGCCGCGCGCGCCCCCCGCCCGTCCGTTGCGACGCCCTGGGGTGTCGCGCGCGGCCCCTGCCGTCCTGTCGCGGCGCCCGGGCAAGGCGCGCGCGGCCCCTGCCGTCACGTCGCGGCGCTCTGGGGAGCCGCGCGCGACCCCCCGCTACCTCGTCGCGGCGCCCTGGGGAGCCGCGCGCGGCCCCTCGCTGCCCCGTGGTGGCGCCCTGGGGGCCGCGCGCCGTCCCCCTAGCTGTCCCCCGCACTCCTACCCCCTGCCACCAGTTTTAGGGTTTGGGGGTGGGGAGTGTGGGGGTGGCGGTTGTGGGGATGCCGGTTGTGTGCGCCGTCCCCTACTCCTCCTCCTCCTCCGTCTCCCGCTACTGCAGCTGCCGCTCAGGGGGGTGGGTGTGTGGGAGCCGAAGGAGTGGTGCTAGGGGGGTGTCGTGGGAGTGGAGCTAGGGGTGCAGCAGGGGGTGTGTGATAGGGGCGTGGGGCAGCTGGGGGGGGTTGAGTGGAGGCAGCCGTCGTGTCGTCAGCAGCGCCAGTAGTCCGGAGGCTACAATCTCCGGTAGTCGCCAGTCGCCTGTGGGTCAGTTGCTCCAGTCAGGAGGCTACAATCTCCACGGAGCCAGTTACTCCTGTAGTCCGGGCCCTTGCTTCGGTAGCCACTGAGCCAGCAGCTCCTGTGTGTCTGCAGCTTCAGCAGTCGCCTTCCATCTTCTCGCCCCAACAGTCTCTCCTCCTCCTCACTTGCCCTCTGTGATAGCCTCTAGCTTTGCTTGCAATTGTGAACCTGCTCTATGACTGCGTGCTCTGCTGATTACACCCCACTTTGGCTATGGGGGTGTGTCAGAATGTTGTATTTGTCTAGCCTGCAGTGGGGTACTCTATAACGAGTACAGCCCAATCTAGGGTTTCCTATATGTACTCAACTGCTTGCTAGTGCAACCCCTCTTTCTGCTTCTAAACTTTTCCTCATAATTGTGACATATCATTGGTCGGGAACGTATGATTATATGACCGGTCATAAGTGGGATCATTAATCAATGTTCTTGACAGTCTCCTATATTCATATAGAAGCAAAAAAAAAGCAGCCTCCGACAGTGTTAGAAAGAAGAAGTGTTGGACTAGAAAGGAAAGGGAGTACAAGTACCTAACCCTAGAATTGTGTACCCCCTAAAGGCTAACCCACTGTAGCCTACACAAATACAACATATATAATGTTTGACACACCCCCATAGGCTAAGTGGGGGAGAGCAAGCGGTCACAAGACCAGTCAAAGCAAAGCAAAGCAAGACAAGCTCAGGGTGGATCTCAAGGATACCACACAAATTCCGAGCACAAGCAAATGGTCACAAGACCAGTTCACATGCAGTTTGATAATAGAACAAGAGGTACAGTGATCACAACCTAGCAAGTGTAAGCATGCAGGTATATATATAGAGATCATAGTACAAGCAGAGTCAAGAAGTGAGCAAGTGAGGGAGAGTAGGCACTAGGCCTAGAACAGTACAGAAACGCTGATGATCACAAGGCTGAAGTGCCTTGGTGAACACATCAGCAGTGTTGGCCCGAGTGGCCACGTACGAGAGACGAAGCTGACCCCTCTGCTGCAGCTCTCGCGCTAGGAAGTAGCGCGGAGCGATGTGCTTCGTTCTGTGCTCCAGTCTGTGCTCCTCACACAAGGCAATGGCTGCCTTGTTGTCGACGTACAGCACTGGAGGAGAACGAGGCCGCTCTCCGAGGTCGGTCAGCAGGTAGGTGAGCCAGCGTAGCTCCTGGGCCGCCATGGCTGTGGCGTAGATCTCAGCCTCACAACTGGAGCTGAGAACAGAAGAAGAGCGTGTAGAACGCCAGGAAACAGAGCCAGAGCCAAGGCTGAAGGTGTAACCCTGAGACGACCGCTGCGTAGCCTGGTCGTCAGCCCAAGAAGCGTCTGAGTGTCCAGTGAGGACAACGTCGCGCCGTCCTCCAAGCACAAGCCCCATGCCCGACGTACTGCACAGGTAACGCAACACCCTCTTAGCGACATCCATGTGCTCCTTCCGGTGACAGCCAGGAGCGACATAGTGTGCTAGGATGCTAAGAGGGTATGCAAGGTCAGGTCGAGTGCAGGTCATCAGGTACATGAGGCAGCCAACAAGCTCTGGATACAGGCCACTCGGCTCTACGGACTCATCCGAAGGCAGAGCTGAGAGCGAGTGACCGGTAGGCAGAGGAGTGGGCTGAGGCGAGGAGTACGTGAAGCCGAAGCGCTGAAGGACCTGCTGCACCATGTGTGACTGAGTCAAGGTGATGGTGCGCTGTGCTCTGTCCCGGGTGATCCGCAAGCCAAGATAGCTTGTCAGCTCACCCAGGTCTGTGCACGTGTGTCTCTTCTGCAGCTCCGACTTCACGTGGGCGAGTGCCTCAGTGTCAGCAGTAGGAAAGACCAAGTCGTCGACGTACACGAGAACGTAGAACGGCGGCAGAGTGGTGTCGGTGCGTAGAAACAGTGACGGGTCAGCAGTAGAAGGAGCAAAACCAAGAGCCGCAAGCGTAGTCCTCAGTGTGTCGTGCCACTCACGGGGTGCCTGGCGGAGACCGTAGACTGGCCGCCGGAGGCTCCACTGGGTACCAGGAGGGAACGACCCAGTGAAGCCAGGTGGGCGGCGCAGCCAGATCTCCTCGTGCAGGCTGCCCTGTAGGAACGCAGTGCTGAAGTCAAGAGAGTGGAGCTCGTAGTCACGCTGAGCGGCGACGTGCAGCAGAACCCGAAGAGTGGTCATCTTCGGGGTCGGGGAGAAGGTCTGGAAGAAGTCAACTCCCTCTCGCTGACTGAAGCCTCGTGCAACGTAACGCGCCTTGAAGACAGGCGGAGAACCCGGCGGCCGCTTCACCCTGAAAATCCACATGCCACTGACGATGTTCGCCCCAGGTGGGGGAACCTCGTCGACGTAGGTGCCTGTGGATTTCCAGGAAGCCATCTCTGCGTCCATGGCTGTCTGCCACTGAGAGGAGTAGAGACCCTCCATCGCCTCTACGTAGGAGCGTGGGGTCGGGATGTCTGGTGCATCCGGGTCTCCCTCAGGGGCAACTAGCATGGACACGAGATGAGGCAAAGCAGCGGCAAAGCACTCAAACTCCTCCTGTCTGTCCTCAAGGACGTCCGTGCCAAGAGCACACTCACCCCCGACGGACGGAGGACAGACAGACTCAGACTCAGCAACAAGGCTAGCGGCATAGTCTAGACGACAGGCGGCAGCAAAGTCAACAAGCTCAGCGACTAGAGCAGACGCAGCAGAGGACTCGAAGGAAGGGTCAGTGACAACAGTGGCAAGGAGACGCGTGACAGTAGGACTAGCAGCACGAAGAGAGTCAGACTCCGGGTCAGCAAGAGCAGGACGAGAGGACGCAGGAGGAGACGGCAGAGGGACACGCTGTGGAGCAGTGGAAGGACGCAGAGTCATATAGTGAGTGCCAGGGACAGGAGGAGGTCGCTCACGCGGAGCACGACGACCAGCGCGGACAGCACGGACAGGTGACTCTGGACGCGACTCAGGCGATGCTGGACGAGACTCAGGCAACGGAGGACGAGACTCAGGCTCACGACGCTCCGTAAGACCTCCCGTCGGCTCAGCGTAAGGAGAAGGACCAGGCAGTGGAGAGGCTGGCTGTAACTGTGACTGCGACTGGACAGGCGGTGGACTCAGTAGGGGAGGAGAAGGACCAGTAGAGGGCGGGAGACTAAGAACCTGCTGAAGGAGCGGAACGTAGTACGGCCGCGGCCGCTCAGCACCTCCAGCAAGAACCCCCTCAGCAGGCCCAGACCCAGCAGCTCCAGTACCTCCAGTACGAGCACCCCCAGGACCTCCAGTAGCGCCAGCAGCACCGCCAGCAGCAGCAGCACCTCCAGCAGCTCCAGCAGCACCAGCAGCACCTCCAGTAGTAGCAGTACCTCCAGCAGCTCCAGCAGCACCAGCAGCACCACCAGCACCAGCAGCACCTCCAGCAGCGTCAGCAGCACCAGCAGCACCTCCAGTAGAAGCAGCACCTCCAGCAGCTCCAGCAGCACCAGCACCAGCAGCACCTCCAGCAGCACCAGCAGCACCGCCAGCAGCAGCACCTCCAGCACCAGCAGCACCTCCAGCACCAGGGTCCGCGGCACTAGGAGCGCCACTCCGGAGACTGCAGCGCCGAGCGTACCACTCCCGGAGCCGCTGGGGAGAGGGCAGCTCCCGCCTAGGAGGGGAAGCACTAGCACCAGCTCCAGCAACACTCCTAGCTCCAGAAGCACCCCTCCTGAGGCTGCAGTACTGTAAGTACCACTCTCGTAGCTGCAGTGAGGAGAGAGCTCCTCCAGGTGAAGCACGCTCAGTCTCAGCACCCTCAGACGTAGCACACCCAGGCTCAGCACCCCCAGACTCAGCACCCGCAGGCTCCGCACCCCCAGGCTCAGCACCCCCAGACTCCGCACCCCCAGGCTCCGTACCCCCTGGCTCAGCACCCCCAGGCTCCGCACCCCCAGGCTCCGCACGCTCAGGCTCCGCTCGCTCAGGCTCAGCACCCCTAGCAGGACGAGAGTCGACAGCTACCTCGACAGGCTCAACCGGGTCTACCTGGGACACACCTGAGGGAGCGGCACCCTGAGGGGGGAGGGGGTCTACCACAGCAGCACCTGGCGCGAGGAAGAGAGGCGGGGGGGGGAGCGGGGCAGTGCGGTAGGGGAAGAGGCGGTAGTAGGGCACGGACTCGTCAGAAGTGACGTCCTGAGAGGGCAGGACACGGCGCGAGGTGGCGTGGTAAAACTGCCAATCAGACGCGTCCGGGACAAAGCCAAGGAAGACACAAGGAACAGCGCGGGAGGAGAGCTTGTCCGCGGACGTATCGCAAACAAAAGCTCGAGAACCCCAGACCCGAAAACGCGACGCATCGCCAACCTCTCCCGTCCAACGCAGTGTCGGGGAAGTCTCCGGCAAGGAGACACGGGGCCAGAGGTTGAGCTGATGCGCAGCGTATCGGACCGCAAACGGCCACAGAAAGTGGGGGGCAGCCGCATGGATCAAGGAGGTACGAGCGACCTCCATGACCAAGCCAATGCGGCGCTCAGCAACCCCATTCTGCTGTGGAGAGGCCGGAAGCGTGAACGACTGGCGGATGCCGTGCTCCGCACAGTAGGCTGCCAAGAGGTCGGAGGAGAACTCACCACCTCTGTCAGAGTGCAAACGCAGGACAGGAAAGTCCGAGTGGAAACGCTCACTGAGCTGGAGACGAGAAGCGCGGATCCAAGGGATCAAGACATCAGGGACCTCACCCTTGGTGCGCAAGGGGAAGACCGTGGTGTAGTGCGAGTAGTCGTCAACAACGATCAGGAAGTACCTCTCCTGACCCTGTCCACGGACGCGGGCTGGGCCCCACACGTCCATGTGAAGCGTCTGCAAGGGAGCAGTCGTCGGGGGAAACGAGGAGGAGTGAGGAGCGGCGCGCTGCCGCCCCTCGACACAGGGAAGACAGGGAGGAGCAGGCGAGGGTGGGAGGGGAGGGAGAACCCTGGGAAGACCAGAGACAAGGTACCGTTTGTGCATGGCACGAAGGCGCTGCACTGACGGGTGACCAAGGCGGTGGTGCCAGAGGATGGTCTCGTGTGCTAGAGAGCGACACGAGCAGGGGGCAGACAGCTGACCTGAAGTAGACGCAGACGCAGCTACCTGAGGGGACTCAGTGGTCAGTGTGTACAGGTCCGACCCCGGCTGCCGAGTGAAGGTAGCCAGGTGACGGCCCGTCCGAGCACACGTGCAGTGTGTCACGCGCTCGTAGGCAGGGGTGAACTGGTGGACACCCCCGTCCTGGAGCGCACAACCCGCCACCAAGTTCGTAGAGAACGAGGGGAGGTGGAGACCTGACAGTGTGCCCGACGGAACTGCAAGACAAGGAAGGACAGTGGAGGAGGTCGCAATGACCGGACCCCCAGAGGGGTCAGCAAGGGAGATAGCAACTGGCCGAGCAAGCTGCTCAAGGGCAGTGCGGTCACGAAAGAAACAGCGAGAAGCACCTGAGTCCAGTGTGAAGGTGTGCAGTGCCTCAGTAGACTCAGTACCAGGGGGCGCAGACTCACGAGCACCTAGAGCAGTAGCCTCACCAGTACCTGGGGCAGGAGACACGGGAGTACCTGGAGCGGCAGCCTCACCAGCACCTAGGGCAACAGACGCACTAGCACCTAGAGCGGCAGCCTCACTGGTCCGAATGCCCGGGTCGGGCGGAACACGCAGGTACTGAGCACCCTCTCCACTAGTAGACAACACATACATGGCAGTGAGAATAGCATCAAAGTCTAGAGCATAGATATCAATGTTTTTCTTCATCAGATCAGCCCAGCGGGGCAGCTCAGTGGCAGCAGGGAACTGAGTACGCCAAGCGTCGTCGAGGCGGGAGAAGCAGCGCTGCGTGGTGTGCGCCCTCCCACACATCTGACCAGTGCGGTCACCTGTGCGGATGACGTACGTGCAGCTAAGTCCACCCCCCCCCCCGTGCTGAGAGTACCACTCACGAAGCTCCTGGGGCGACGGAGTCGGCTGCTGGCTCTGGCCACCGCCAGCGCCTCCACGACCACCACCTCCGCCGCTGCCACCCCGTCCACCACCGCCCCTGCCGCCTCCGCGTCCACCGCCGCCACCACCACCGCCCCCGCCCCTGCCACCTCCCCCACCGCTGCCGCCACCACCCCCACCGCCGCCACTAGCCCCTCCAGCCCCGCCACCACCCCCACCGCCGCCACCACCCCCACCACCGCCTCCCCCGCCGTCACCTCCACCTCCCTTGCCCCCTTTGCCCTTGCCGCTGCGGCGCCAGCTCGGAGCGGACGCAGTTCCGACCTGCTCAGTACCAACTAGGTCGACAGCAGCAGCAGAGGCGACAGAGGGGAGAAGGGGGGAAGGGGAACACCCCTCGAAGAAAGGGGTGCGGGGGTCGCCACGAGAGGCACCTACAGTGACTATGCTAGCCTCGGCTGCAAGCAGTTCCTTCTCGAGGAGGTCAATGGTGAGCTCAGTGGGGCAGCGAGCTAGGAAGTGGTCCCTGATTGAACGCAGAGTGTCAGGGAGGCGAGTGACTAGGTGGTAGAGAGTGAGCCAGAGCGGGGGGGGGTTCTTGTCAAGAAACTCAGCGGGCATAGCAGCACGGAAGCGGGCCTCACTAGTTCGGAGGTGCGTGATGAGGTCAGAGACTGTGGAGAAAGCTGACAGGTCTGGGAACAGGTAGGGGAGCGAGAGACGGCCGAGTGCAGCAGAGGCAGGTGAGGAGTAGCGTGCAACTACAGCAGTGTACAGTGCCTGCGCAGTTTTGTGCTGGCCAAAGTGCTCGCGTTCATCTACCGGCAGGGAATTGCGAATAGCGAAGCGAGCGTGAGCGTCACGAGTCTGCCACTGTGAGCGGGCAGTACTGTCAGCTGTAGCAGCAGGGGCAGTAGCATGGCCTAGCGCGTGATCGTACAGTGAGATATCCTCCTTGGCAGTGAGCTGGAGGAATAGGTGTAAGTCATCGAGCCAGATCTCAAACTTCAGTGGGCGGCCCTCAGCATCGAAAGCTAGCACAGAAGGACTAGCCATAGTTGCAGTGACAGTAGTAGTAGGAACTGCAGTAGTAGGAACAGTAGGGCGGCATGGCTCTGCCTAGGCGGCGCGGCTCGGTTCGGGCGGCGCGGCTCGGTTCGGGCGGCGCGGCTTGGTTCGGGCGGCGCGGCTCGGTTCGGGCGGTGCGGTTCGGCTCGGGCCGGGCTACGGGGCAGTGCGCGACGGGGGGGGGGGGGCGTGCACACGGGCGGCTGTAGCGGGCGGGCCGTGGCCTTGCGTGGGCCTGACTAGTACGTGGGCGGCCTAGAGGGCGGCGGCACGGCCTACGGGCGGGGCTGCCGGTCGTTAGCGGGCTACGCGCGGCCAGAAGGGCCCGTCGACGGGCTGCTAGCGGGCGGCGCGTGGCAGCGTGGGAGGCTAACGGGCGGCGCACTCGCAGGAAACGCCGCGCGCGGGCTGCTAGGGGGCGACGCACGCGAGAAAAAAAAGGCCGCGTGCGGCTCTACTGAGCTGCGCACGGGCAGTAGGAGACAGCGAGGCGCACGAGGGCGCACTAGGAGAAAGGCGCTCGAGGGCGCTTCGAACGGAACGGTGGGCCCTAAGGAGCGATCCTAGGTCTAAACCTACGCTCTTAATACCATGTTAGAAAGAAGAAGTGTTGGACTAGAAAGGAAAGGGAGTACAAGTACCTAACCCTAGAATTGTGTACCCCCTAAAGGCTAACCCACTGTAGCCTACACAAATACAACATATATAATGTTTGACAGACAGTCCCTATTATTCAACACTCAGCAAATTATCGTACCCCATACCATTAATTTGCTACACGATACACCTCTGACCCCCCATATTTTCCCTTACACTTCTTCCTGGTATGCTGAGTAGACCCACAGTCGCCACATTTGTATGTCCGTTTTGGCGCTTCACGCCTTCGGTTGGATTGTGGCCGCCCTGATCCTCTCTGCACAAAGACCGGGGGGTCACAAACTCCCTCCTCAACGGGCTTGGTCTCCGCGATGACCGTGTCTATACACGAATACGGAATGAGTGCCGAGTACGTCCTTCTCCAGCTCTCCGTCTTCCAGTACCTGGTGATCAAGGAAATAACATCCATTTGCCTATCCCGTAAGTGTGCAAACGCATGAGAACAAGGAAACCGATATTCTTGCCAGTTCTTGCACTCGCACAATCTCTCTCCCACATCATTGTTGAAGAAGAGGGGACGTCGGTCCAAAGTGCTCCCCTTGTTCCGAACTCTTGCCTTGCTCGGCCCATTGCGTGTCACCCTGTAACCACGGCTTCGGTTCTTTTTCAGCTCAAACCGCTTCTCAGCTTCGACCGTCAATGCATGCTGCCAGTTGGATGACTTTTTATGCCCATCCGAGTATATTTTAGCCATCCAATCCCACATGCCCGCCATCACATAAGATACCGGCAAGATGCGGATCTTCTTAATAGCATTGTTGATCGACTCCACCATCTGGCTGCTGTAAATGCCAAACCGACATGTGGGGGCATAACACCGTGCCCATTGCTTGATGAATACTGGGTTTTTTTTTTTCCTCTTGTATCTCGGTCCATCTTGGCCCGTGCGAACAATAATGCCCGCCCCATCCTCCATTGTGTCACTGTCCACGCGCTCAGCATCAGCATTGCCCGACCCCCCCAATCCCGTCTCTACACCGTGGTTAACGTCCGTTGCCGCTGCGGCTTCGTTGGCCCGACCCATGTTTGTCGGAACATCCTGCTGCGGCAGTGGCTGACGCGCACTTTGGCTCCCTTGCGTAGGCAGGTGTGCTACTGGTGATCCGGCGCGTTCCCGCCTTCTTGCACCTGCCTCTCTTGCACTCTGCCTTCCCCTGATAATCTCCATCCTCCGTTGGCGTCTCATGGCCGCTTGTTGCGCTGTTGTGGTGGATGGCAGTTGAGTTGTAGTATTGTTGGATTGGCAGCCATGGCCCATGTCTGTACGCTCCTCATCCCCATCAGGCTCCGAATCCTCCCCGCAGCTGATTTGACTCCCATCCTCCACGTCAAAGTGCTCCTTGAATACTTCATCTGTGGTATCTGCCTCTGCCTCACTCTCTGAGATGGTTGTAGCATTGTCTCTCTCATTCTCGCCTGCCAAAGAAGGGTGCGCGGATGTGGTTGCTGTCACACGATCAAGTGGATGCATGTTGTCAGCAGCCGCCGATTGAGGTTGCATGTCTCTAGGCCGGTGACACGTGTGATCTGCAGTTGGCATGGGGGGCAACCCATGGTCCTTTTGGGGCGGCTGCGATGGAAGCTGCTGAGATGGCTGCTGCTGAAATGCTGGCTGCTGGGTTGATTGTTGCTGACGTGAATGCTGATGTACTCTTCTGTGAAGTGACGGTGTACGCTGAGATGGTGGCTGTTGAAATGGATACTGCCGAGCGTGTTGCAGCTGAGATCGTCCCTGCAACGATGATGGTGGTTGTGTCACTTGCTGCTGGGATGGTCGTTGCTGAGATGGTGCCTGCTGAGAAGGTTCCTGCTGTGATGGTGCGTGTTGCTCTCCCCTGCGACCACTCCTCCTTTGCCGCCGCACTTCCATCCTTGCCATTCTCGCGCTTCTAGCAGCACCCGTGCGGCTTGTCAACCCATCCCCCGCATCTGGCTCCCGTGCACGCTGGTTGGCCCCGCGTCCGCCACGGCTCTGCTGCGCACTGGCCTCCTCGACCCCAAAGAGATAGTTAGCCATTGCAGCACATTCGGCCCGGCATCTCCTCACGAGTTTGCCAAACTTCCGTTTAGTGCGGCAGTTGGCGAGTTTCTTGAAGAGTTCGGAGGCGTTAGGGGCCAAACTTGAGCACATTCTGCTCCAAGTGCCAGCTGCA